CTGCCAAAGGAGAAAGCATAACCAGAAGTACTTTTACTGTCCTCAATTGATCCACTCCAGTCACTGTCACAGAACCCAATTAACATTGAGTCCTTACCCTTCACATATTCCAGACCATAATCAAGTGTACCCTTAATGTATCTTAGCACTCTTTTAGCAGTTCCAACATGCTTACTGGTAGGGCAGTGCATAAATCTGGCTAACAGACTGGATGCATACATAATATCAGGCCTGGTTGCAATGAGATATAAGAGACTTCCCACCAAACTTCTATAATTCTTCACTTGCAGCACCACTTCCATCATCCGTGGTTAACTTCTCAGTTGCAACCAATGGAGTAAGCACAGGTTTGCACTCTTTTAGACCAAATTTGTCTAACAGAGAGTTTGCATATTTCTTTTTGGTGGATGAAAATGCTTGAAGTGGTTTGAATTATTCCCATTCCAAGAAAATGATGGAGAAGGCCCAAATCAGTCATCTCATACTTTCGTTTCATGTCTTCCTTGAATTCTTCAAGCATTTGTTTGTTGCTCCCAGTATAGATTATGTCATCCACATAGATCGACACAATCAAAATGCCTTCCTCTTCTGTCTTGATGTACAGTGTTGGTTCACTTAAACTTCTTGTGAAACCACATTGTGAGAAATATGTATCTATCTCTCCATACCAGGCCCGTGGTGCCTGTTTTAGACCATACAAGGCTTTGTGAAGTTTATATACCCTGTCTTCCTCCCCTTTAGCTACAAAACCATCAGGTTGCTCCACATAAACCTCCTCCTCTAGAACACCATTTAAAAAAGCCGATTTAACATCAAGTTGATAGAGTTTCCAACTCTTTTGTGCAGCCAATGCTATAAGGGTTCTGATTGTATCTAATCGAGCAACAGGAGCAAAGGTCTCATTGTAGTCTATTCCTGGTTTCTGTGCATATCCCTTTGCAACAAGCCTTGCCTTGTTCTTTTGCACAGTTCCATCCAGGTTGAGTTTGGTTTTAAACACACCCATTTTACTCCAATTATAGGCTTGTTACTTGGCCTGTCCACTAACTCCCAGGTTGCATTCTTTTCAATCATGGAGAGCTCATCCTTCATAGCATTCATCCAAGATTCATCCTTAGCTGCATCTTCATATTTCTCTGGTTCTATAATACAAAGATTACACTGAGCAAGAACATCATCCAGCTTTCTCCATTTTAATGGAGTATGATCAAAAAACTGAGTGTCATTCACACCTGCACTTGACTGAGAGTTGATCTGTGTATCATCAATACCACTTGCAGCTTCTTCCAATATTCCAGATGATAAATCACTTGAAACTTGAGGGTCATTTTCTGCATTTTCACTTCTTTGTGTATCAACAGAGTCAAACTCATAAGTAGGCAGTGACATATATCTTTCAGTGCTTCTTTCCCAATCCCAAGCTGAGTTTTCATCGAACACAACATCTCTTGACAGAATCAGTCTCTTAGAGATTGGATCAAATACTCTATAGCCTTTCTCACATTTTGCATATCCAACAAAGACTCCTTTTATACTCTTGGGTTCTAGCTTGTGTCTTAGCTCGGATGGAGTATGAACATAACAAACTGAGCCAAAAACCTTCAAATGAGCAATACCTGGTTTCCTTTTGCTGTAAGCTTCAAAAGGTGTTATACTATCCAGTGATTTGGTAGGGCATCTGTTTAACAGATAGACAGCAGTATGCACAGCTTCTGCCCACATATAGTAAGGCATTCCTTTGTCATGAAGCATAGACTTGGCCATTTCAATCACAGTTCTGTTTTTTCTTTCAACCACTCCATTTTGCTGTGGAGTGTAAGAGAGAGACAGTTGCCTTTGGATTCCCTCTGTGTCACAGTATTGCTTGAATTCATTTGATAAGAACTCCCCTCCTCTATCACTCCTTACACATTTTACCTTCATTCCACTTTGCAACTCAGTCATGGCCTTGAATTTCTGAAAACAAGTAAAAGCTTCATATTTGAATCTAAGAAAATACACCCATATCATCATGGTTGCATCATCTACAAGCAACATAAAGTACTTGTTTCCTCCAGTAGACTCGATTCTCATCGGTCCACACAGATCTACATGAACCAATTCAAGTGGAGCACCAGCTCTTTGTGCTTGACCACTAGGAAACCTTTCTCTGTGTTGCTTACCATATTGACAGCCTTCACACACTTTGTCATACTCATCTAGATATGGTAATCCATGTACCATGTCATTATCCTTCAATTTCTTAATTCCACCAAAGTGTAGGTGACCTAATCTTCTGTGCCAAGTCAGAGAACAATGAGCAAAACTGGTCTTCAACACAAGTTGTTTCTCAGGCCGTAGAGATAGAGGATAGCACCTGTTTTCTTTCATTTTTACACGGATAATTTGACATTTCAGAGAAGGACCATCAAAAACAGTACACATATGTCCACCAAACACAAGATAGTATCCGTGCTCATCCATTTGTCCTACACTTAATAGATTCTCCTTCAAACCAGGTAAGTACATGACTTCTCGAATGTATTTTCTTCCTCTGTTAGTCTCAATTTCCAGTGATCCCATTCCTGCCACATTAACTAACCCTCCTGTTGGCATTTGAACTTTCCCTGCAACATTTGTATTCACATCAACAAGAAGATCAACATTTCCTGTCATATGATTACTGCAGCCACTATCTATGTACCAATCTCCATTAACCTTAGTCTCAGCAACTGCACAGTTTGCATAAAATAAGTTTCCTGTCACTTCCATTTGACTTGCACAGTTTGCCTTTTGAACAGACTTTCCAACAGTACACTCTCTCTGGCCCAATGACCAAATCTATCACAGTTATGGCACTTGGATTTCCCCTTATATCTACATTCACCATAATGAAACTTTGAACACACCTTACATTGAGGTTTTACACTCTCTTGACCCATAATCTGTGAGGAAATACTATTCTGTGCAACATTTGTGTATGATTTTTGCTGAAACTTTGGTTTTAAATCCCATTTCTTACCCTTTTGATTCCAATTTTTCTGTGGTTTAAAAGTACTAGACTGAGCATAACTTCGATTCTGCCCTTTTGAACTAACAGTAAGAGAAGAAAATGCTCTCTCAGTTGCATCAGAGGAATGCAAATCAAACCTCTGCTCTTGACTCTTCAATATAGCTAGTACCTCTTGCAATTCAACAGATTCTAAACATTTGGTGTTTTCTATCACTAAGCATATAGGATCATATATCTTAGTGAGACTGATTAACACCTTCTGAACTAATCTCTCATTTGACAGAATTTCACCAAACGTCTTCATTTGATTAATCAGATCATTTAAACGAGTAAGATACCCAGTCAAAGATTCATCATCACGCATTCTAGTGTATTCAAATTCTCGTTTAAGATTCTGGAGTTTCACAAATCTTACCTGATCCCCACCGTGATATTCGCCATATAACAGATCCCATGCCATTTTTGCTGAGTCTGCGTTTGCGATTCGAGGGAAAATCTGATCAGAGACTGCGTTTTGAATGATTCCGAGTGCTTTTGCATCTTTCATGAAGGTTGCAGCCATTTTCTCATCATCGTCAGCATCAACATCTGTATCTTCATCAGTCTTAGCTTTCTTCTTCTTCGAATCAGAAACCGAAATCCCTTTTTCCACCAGATTCCACAGTCCATATGACTTGAAAATGGTAACCATTTTGATTCTCCAGAACTCGTAGTTCTCACCGGAGAAGATCGGGGTCCTCACTTCAGCACTCCCAGATCCAGCCATCGTGAGCTTGTGTGAATCCAGAAACACGTAGTTCTTAGCTCACAAACAAACTCCGGCAAACTTCACCGAGTCCAGAAACGGTGATGTTTGAGCTCACAGAAACACGCCCAGATCTAATCGAAACAAGGCTCTGAGGCCATGTTAGTGTAACTTGATTTTGCTGGGTTTATTTTCAGAATGCTGAACAGAAGCAAAGCAAAGATAGAAGTTGAACCGAAAAGTTTTTCTTTCTTGTTCTCTCTGCTGCAAAAGTATTGCAGAGGAATATTTGTACTGCACAGAAAAATGCGCACTAACACTGCTTTACATTTAACTGATGGCCTTAGCTTTAGGACCACACAAAACACTACTTTTAAACTTAGTCACTCATCAACCTAATTACATGGATCAAACACCACATAGCACTCATGGCCTTACATCATTTAACCTTACACTTGGCAGATATGCTCAAGTGAATACACACATTAAAACTCATCTTATTTCTAATACTCAATCAGCTAGAGACTTATAATTCAACAAAGCTCACATAAACTTGGGAAATGAGACTTCGGATAGCATTAGATATTGCGTTAGATAGGTGCTTAGTGTTATTTTGTATGCTAATATATATGCACAATCCAGTATTGTGCATAGAGATGTAAAGACTGCCAACATTCTCTTGAATTAAAACTTGGATGCAAAATAGCAGAGTTTGGTATGTCCATGGTTTTTCCCAGTGACACTGAGACTCTGGTGGCATCGGTCATGGGATACCGAGCTTGTTCAGATTTCTGTGTTCTACTGTTCTTAGAATTTTGATCATGTTAAAAAAAAAAAACAAATCTATGAGCAGTGAGTGATCTATGATTACTTTATTTGGTCTGCAGATACTATAATTAGCAAGGTTGAAAGAAAAAAAAATTGATGTTTAGATTTTTACTGGCCAACCTGCAATCATAGAAAATGATGATCTTGTCCACATAGTGGAGTGGGTGAATCTTGAGTTCCAGAACAGGGATTGAAATACTATTTTGGATCAAAGGCTTCGAGGAGAGTTCAATGTGAATTCGGTCTGGAAGCATCAGAGACAGCACGGCATGCCTCCCAACATAGAGCCACCATGAGTTTTGTGAATTGTGGAAATGGAGGTGTCTAGGCATCGAGAAGGAACTCCCGGCTGAAATGAAGAAACTTGTGTTACGATTTCACCATACCATAATTCAGCTGGATTGAATTCCAGATGTTCATATTCCACCAATGCAGGTCCCATGACAACACCATTTGCTGGGTAGCTACTAGCTAGTTAGGATTTAATTGTAGCCAAATGAAGAGGAGGTAGTTGTCAATTTGGTCATCAACTTTCAAGGACAAGTCTACTCCATTTGCTAAAGATAATAGTAACCAAAGACTAAATACCAATCACCAACGTCTGGCAGAAAGAATGCGCCAAGAACAGTGGCCCAAGATGGCCGAAGATTTATCATATTCCAGATATCAGAGGTATTTTTTATTTTTATCTCCAATCAATTATTCATGAATATTTGATTCAATATTGTTCACTCACTCTCGTTTTCTCATGTGTTAAGTGTTATCGGGACTGGTACGAATCTGAATAAAGAAAGATGCAACTTTTGTAGAAGGTTTCTTCTCACTCTGCAGATACGCTTTTGTAGAAGGTTGTGTTTCTTCTCACTCTGTGCAGGTTCTCCCAACTAACACAGTTTTATGAGACCAATTTTGTGGAAGGTAATCTGTTTAGTCAATATGTAACTCTTTTTCTTCAATCTTTCATCCTTGAATAAAATCATGCCGAGTTTTCTAGAATATGTTAATCACAGATAAATTTGATTAGTATTTCAGCTCACTTAAGAAGGGAATCCAGTAAGAGAATTGGATTAAGAGTGGAGAGTAATCCCAGTGCAACGAAAACTTGGACACGAAAATAGCAGATTTTAGTATGTCCATGGTTTTTTCCGGTGATAATGAGACTCGTGTGGTGACATCAGCCATGGGGAATTCCAAATCCATTGCGGGAAAAGAAAAAAAAAACGAAAAAGGATGAGATATTCGAGTTGTGCCGATGAATTATACGGGTTTTTCAGACCCTGTTCCACCAATGAGCTTTGTTTTATTGTGAGCTGGTTTCACCCTAAACTTGTTTTGATTTCGGTAGTTCAAATTAGATCCAAAGTACTATATCTGATCTGCACGTAAGGTCTGCATGAAAAATAGCCTCTTGAGGAGCAAATAGCATGTTTCACTTCAATGATGCTAAGGTGTCCAATTCTCCATCAGATCCAATGGTCCACACAATTCATGTTTAGAAAGAACGAGAGTCGAACATTGAGCACACAAAAAACTTATAACTCTAGTGGTTAAGAGCATACATTTAGTACTTACAACTGAAATCTTGTGTTCGGTTTTCTCTTTCAACACTCATGAACCTTACAAGTTACAAATAGCCAAACAATCATTGATCAACACAATTAGTAATAAAATATCCTAATTAGAAAGACCATTTGTTTTTTAATCCGGATCTGCATCAATCAAAAGACAAATAAGTGGTTACCACCATGTGACCGTGCCAACTATTAATAAAAAATGCAAATTAGACTTGAAACCATGGGCGCACCCACCATAGCCGACTGCCAACTACTAAATCGAATTTATTAGTGATTTTGTTTGACGGGGTAACCTCAATTTGCTGGGATATCACAATCAAAGAAGCAAAAATAAAATAAATTATAAAAAAAAAAAAAGAATTGTCATGGCATATGCGTTCATAGTAGCTACTTATGTTTATAATATTTACAAATCAAGAATGGACGGGTGGATCGTACGTATGCACGCGGGAACGATAATGACATTTTGTGAATAGTAAATATGAGTCTACGCGTACCTGCAGGCGACTAATCACAAAACTCCTCTTGTCGGCAATAATTTTAAATACTTAATTTGGATGGAAAATGCAATTTATAATTCAAATATACACAATTTCTTTCTTCCCAATGCTAGAAGCCAAATATGTCAATTTACATATGGCAGACCAACATCTCTGTTTTTCTTTAATTTCTCTGTAGGTTCATATATATTGTTGTGCTCCCATATTAATAATGCTATTTCTACGTGAAAATATTAAAAAACAAAAACCAAAAGCTCAAAGTTAAAAGCCAGAAACCAAAAGTCAACCTTTTACAATCTGAAATGGGATGGTGTACCATGACTTTGCCCGGCCAATCGGAACATCGGTTTCGCAGTGTTGATGAAAGAGGTCGAAATCTAATCTAATATGTTTAGAAAATCAAATGCAACAAAAATCAGAAAAATTAAAGAACAAAAATTGAAGGAATATGTTAGGAATCGTAAGAAAAATAGTACCTTTCGTGGCCATGCCCACCATGGTTATAACGATTACCTACTGAAACGAAAAACCTAGATATTATGTTGGACTGGAGAGCTTAACTCCTCGGAGACGGTCTAAAAGTTTGAAGAATTGGAGGTGGCGGAGAGAACCTCATGAGTATATATGTTAATACTTTTACATCAACTTTGGTTATAATTATCATTAACTTAAAAAACGGCTATAATTTTCTATGAGGTTCAAATTTTGATTATTTTTCTAAATTTCTCAATTATAATGATAAATTCTTTTTTTTTAAAATCCAATTATATGTGTACATTGTTTTTTATGTGTTTAGAATGTAATGCTTGATTATTGGTAGATAAATGTTCTATTCGTTACAAATTTTACTATTTATTATGTGTCTTATGCTTTTTCAGGAATTAATTTATTACAAAATTTGAAGTCCAAGAATTAAGGAACTTCAAAAATAATTAGTTGATATGAAACTACATTAATATCAATATGAAGAGACGTACAAAGTCAAAGACTTTGATAAAAAAAACTTAGAACTAATAAGATTTCAATCAAACAATATTAGTGATTAATGACTGCATTCAGAGTCACCCTTTATTTTTTATGGCAAGGTCCCCAATATTATGTTCCAAAGGTTTAGAGATTTACGGATTTGAATTTATTTCATCTCTCAAGGTGTTAGAGATTTAGGGACTTGAACCATCACTTTTAAGGACTCATTTAAGGATTTAAAAAGAATCTTTGTGTCCCTAAAGCAATATTACCTTCAATGAGTGAGTTCCTATGGTAGAATTCATAAATTTATGGTTTTTACGATTTTATATGATAATTTGATTGGTTACAAAGTTTTGTGTTTGTGTTAACTTTCTTTGAATTAATTTAATCTTACATTGTCGTAAAATATTTCTTGTGAACATTTCAACCTAAATAATTCGAACTATGCAAATTTTGTTGGGATGAAACTAGTGATGTGGTAAATTTTGTTGGGATGAACTTACCATTTTATTAATTACTTTGCTATTTAGTTTGAAATTAGATCAAACGTTTCATTAAATTAGTCAAATTTAGTGTATTTTAAGTCAATTCAGTTTAATATTTGTATTTATATTTCAATATGAAATAATTCATTGCAACAAACGCATACTCAAATATAGCATATTGGAAGGACGATGAAACTACACCTTGTCCATTATACTTGAATTAATATTGACGTCCATGTAAACATTATTGGAGGAAATTGAGGAAGAAATGGGATGTGCCATGTGGGGACAACGCGTGGGGCCGATAACAGAATATTAGATAATTTAGAGACTAAACATTATAGTATAGTAAAAAGTTAAAACCAATATTTGTTGACTAATCATGGTGAAGATGTGAGAATTAGGTAGGGTTTGAATAGTCACTAGCACTGAGTCCTGACAAAAATTCATGGAAGACCTATATTTGTTGACTAATCGAAACAAGTTTAAGTCAATAAATGAATCACCGCGTGAAATAAGGTGGACGATGAAGATCTTTCGCGTGTAGACGTCTTCACGCAGAGAAAGTATGAAAAGAAAGAAGTTGCCACACGCTGGGATGGGCGATTTAAATTAAATGACCCGGTCGCAAGTGGTCTTTTATTATAGTGATGGAAATGTTTTGTATCCTTGTATAATGGTGTAAGTTTGAATTTTATCGGCGATTAATAGAATATGTAACTTATTAATGCTATTACTCGACTCAAGAAAATGACCCAATCAGATTTGGAGAGAAGGATCATGAGAGCATTCTGGTCCATTTTATCTCAATTTTGATGGAGGTGGATGACTTTTTCTTTTGTTGATTGAAGGAGCTTGAGTTGGGTTAGGTGTTTCAATATTGGTAATATTAGAGAAATTAAAAATTTTAAATCAAATTCACAAATTCAATAATGTAATTACAAATGATTAAATTATTAACTAAATATCGTATATGCATGAATCTTTTGCGAAATTTCAATCTTAACCATCCAGTGATTAAATAGTGGCATCGTGGTTTTCCATTGGGAAGTGGAAACGTCATTCCCTTGGTTTTCTTGAAAAAGCAGCACCTGCTTTTCCACCGTTCTATTACGCGTCGGTAGGGTTACAATACCAATTTTGTCTCCTTGCTTTTCCACCCCTATTACGTGTTGGTAGAGTTACATGACGACTTTCATCTCTCTGGTGCGTGGATGACCGTCTCAAATGCTTCCAAATTCCATCCTAAAACAATGCATGCTATTGATAGTTGGATAGCTGTAATAAAAGCCAAGAATCTCGGAGATTTTTTCAAAAGTGTGATTCTCTATAAATTTTTTGTAATTTTTTTTCTTGTCAATATTATAAAATAATTTTTTACAAACATAAAGTAACGAAAAGTCCACATAGAATCTCAACTTAAGAGAGTTACTTAGCATTTCTCTCTTTTATATAATCTTTGTACTTACGTGCTCCCTTTTTTTTTTCCTCTGTTGCATTATTATTTTTTGTTCTTTCCTTAATTTTATTGAAGTCGGATCTCTATTATCATCTAAAGTTGTCTAGAGAGGTTGATACAATGATTTTTCGGCACTAGACTCACTCCATCGTGTGGGGTGGGGTTAATTTTAAGGTTGATAAAACACAATATAATGATGCTCATATTAGTGTGAGTGTGCAACACATCGCCAGATTGATCAAAAGACCGAACACTAGAATTATCTTCATATAATAAAGTTGAATCTCCACTATTGTCTAAAATTGTCCAGAAAAAATCTTTGCTGATACGATGGATTTACATTTATGTGGTCTTGCTTTGCTTTACAATTTTTTGCCATTTTATGTCTCCATACTATTAGAAAAGTGCTCAGTCTCACCAAATTAAGTTCACAATTGTAAAGTGGCATCAATTATAAGGGGTCCTACCATCTTGATATGTATCTCTCATCTTCTTATCCACATTTTCTTGAATTATTTGAGAAAAAAGTTTATGCTGATTTAAAAGCAAAGTAATTGGATTTTCATTTGCCTTTTTCTTAATTATTTTGTGTCTTAATCTGACATTGCATTAAACGTATTATCATATGAATTAAGTTTAGTTTATATTAACATAATTTAACTTAGCCTCTAAAACTAATCCAGTCTGAAATATTCGATGCAACCAACGCATACTAAAATATTGCGTGTTGGAAGGATGATGAAACTACAGTTTATGCATCATACTTGAATGTTGATGTCCATGTAACATTCTTGGAGGGAAATTGAGGACGAAGGGGGTCAGGGAATGTGCCGTGTGGGGACGTGCGGGGCCCATGTTTGATTGGAATAGAGTCGGATGTTATGTTGGTGGGGTTGAAGGGCTCAAGATGGCCTTGGATGCGCAGCAAGTTATCCGGCGTCTCATTTGTTAGGAGAAAGGTTTCAGTAGGTAAAGCCGTGGCTCAAGAACTTGCCCCTGTTGCTCTCAAGGAGAATTCTGATCGTTATCGTTAATTCATGATAATATTTATGCATTGAACCGGCTTTTCAGAAAAATCACAAATTTAATTCACCACTTTGTTGTGATGCATGAGCATTTTAGGCCGAATTCTGTCATTTATCATGTTGAATTAGCATCTTTAGGTTTTAGTGTATTTTCATTAATTTACTAGAAAGCCCAAGTGAAAGTTGTCATCTTCTATCTGTTATCTTTTATATGAACTGGCAGATGAGCACACTTAGTGTGTGAATAATTTCATTTTCTTTTTTGTTTTTGATTAAGGAGTGATTAGTTTTTAAATTTTTTTTAAAAAGTATGAGACAATGATGATGAGACAGTTTCTCTTCATAAGGGCATATTTTTCTTAATATTATATAATTACAATTTTGTCTTCTTTATGTAAATATTGTGTATCAAAAATGAGGGTAAAATTAAAAAAACTGAGGATATGATTGTCATTTTAAGAAAAGGTTAAGGGTAAAATAAGAAAAACAATGATATAATTCTTATTTTCGAGAAAGGTTGACAATGAAAGTTCTCTTGATAATATAGATAGAATAATGCTAGGTAATTAATTTTTGGAACACATTTGCTAATAAGATGGGTTTATATTTTTGTCTTCTTTTTATCTTTCCTATTCAATCCTCGTTACTTTATTAAAGTTGGCCTCCACTCTTGAACATTATGTTGACGCTCACAGGCGTAAAGTGGCGTCAATTATAAAGGGTCCTTTCTTCTTATACCACATTTTCTTGAATTATTGTTAAGCCTTTCATTCATCTAATTCGCTCTTCTTGTGTCCTTCCTTGGCTTTCTCTCAGTTCTCTGCTTCCTACTCTCTAATCTCCCCTTATCGGGCGGGTATGGATCCTGTAAAGGTGCTAGAAGGTCTCATCACTTTTCCGGTGGAGGGAATACTGAAGTCGGTCGCTTCACTTGCTGCTCAAGAAATCAGTCTTTTCCGAGGATTCAATAAAGAGCTAACTGAGCTTCAACAATCGTCACTTGCGATTCAAGATTACTTAGGCGATGTTGCCCACCAACCACCTCACAAGCGCAAGGCGTTGGAGGACTGGGTGAAAAAACTGAAAGACGTAGCTCATGATGCTGATGATGTCTTGGAGGACATCAACTATGAAGTTCTCCGGCGTAAAGCAGAACTGCAAAACCACATGAAGAAGAAGGTACTTAACTTCTTTTCGCTCTCCAATCCCATTTTATTTCGTCAAAAGATGGCACACAAGATTAAGAACATCAATGCGTCCCTGGCGGTTCTCAAGAGTGAGGCATCTTTCATTGGCTTAGTTGCAAGGAGAGAAGATCAAACCCTTCCAGCTATGGGGAACAGAGAAACCGTCTCAAGCTTCCGTCAGGATGAGAAGATCATTGGAAGGGAGAAGACAGTGTCGGATATCATTGCAACCTTGATCGAGTCCAAGAATCAGGAAAATAACCTTTCGGTTATGGCCGTTGTGGGATTGGGAGGACTTGGAAAGACGACTTTGGCAAAATCAATATTCAATGATGATGCTATTGGTGGACATTTCCAGGAAAAAATGTGGGTGTGTGTATCCAACCCTTTTTACGTTAATTCGATTCTAAATCGGATGTTAGAGTCCCTTAAATTGGCAGGATGTACAAGTCGGGAAGCATCGCTGAATAACCTCAAAGAAAGGTTGAAAGGGAAGAGATATATGCTGATACTCGATGATGTTTGGAATGAAGCTGAGGATTTATGGAGCAGTTTTACGGATTGTTTGTCGATGCTCAATTCTGCTCCCGGAAGCATTACCATTGTTACTACCCGCAGTGAAAAGGTTGCATTAATCACGGGGACAATGCCGAAGTGTGATTTGGGGCTCCTATCAAACGAGGATTGTTGGTCCATATTAAGGGGTGAAGCATTACGAAATGGTAATGCTCGTTCTCTAGATTCAGATCAAGAGGGCATTGGAAGGGCGATAGCTGAAAAGTGTGCCGGTGTACCATTGGTGGCAAAGGTATGTCTATTATCATATTCCCCCTTGCTGTCTTTTGTTTGGTTTTTTATTTTAATAACATAAATATAGATTTAGAAGGAGGGGTGGGGAGTTTCTGGGTGTAATGGGCGAGGGTAGATCATCTTCAAGTGCCTAGAAAAGCAAAGTGGATTAAGACAACGAATGGAAAAATGCTATATAAAAAAATGTTATATAAACAAATTTTATGCATGAAGTCGTATAAACTAATGTTAAAGTATAAACTACACAAATAAGGGAGTAAATTTGATTACATCAACAGTATTACTCTAAATTTTCTTAAAGGAGACAAACATAGACTTGGCTTTGAATCCTCTATTTCTTTTAGCCACATAGGTTTGAGGTCAATAAGATTGAATAGCCAATTAACCACTCAAACAGAAGAAACCCTATAAAACCCAACAGAATTGTTCTCCTATAATCCAATTACCAAGAAAATGGTGGTCACCCACCGTTCGATCTTAATCTAATGGTTGGTGCTCATTTAACTTTTTTACTATACTTTTTTCTGTACTGTTGGATTAAACATTTAACAGTGAGTGATAATCATTTTCTTAGTCATTGAAGTCTAGGAAAACATGACTCTCAAACCCAATAAGATTTAATCCGTGTCATTAAAGCCCAACTGTTTTTGTTGGAACCAGTCACACTAAACCCTAGCAAAAGCAACCCTAGCATGTCATCTCATATCAAGTCTACAAGTAATCATGGATACACAAGTCAATCGCTAGTTTTCCAGCTCCTTGATTCAAGGCACTTAACTTGCTGATTACTTCTTATTCTTGGATTTGATGTAAATCACCTTAAATTAAGGAAAAACTTGTGTCCTAGGTTTAACTGGTCTCTAGGGTTTCATGTAAAGATGGTTGCTTGTAACCATTTGTTTCTCTCGCCTATATATACTGCATTGTACATTCAGAATTACTCATGAAATAGAAAACACTTTGAAACCAAAAATCTACATGGTATCAGAGCAGTGTCATCCTTGACTTGTCTCTGCCCGTGTTGTTTCCACTGGTGTTCGTTTAAACTTTTGTAATGGCTGAGGAAAGCATAGTCAATCTTGAGGGAGAAAACTCTCAGGTTGCTCCCTCGAATTTTTTGAATGCTGAAGTCAATACCAACCAGCGCCTATGCTCGGTGCTGCTGAATGAGCTCAACTACCTTCCTTGGTCTAGGGTAGTTTCACTCGCTCTAGGAGGAAGGGGAAAGTTAGGGTTCATCAATGGAAGTGTTGAAATTCCAGATTCTTCTTTTCAGACCTATGGAGCATGGCTGTGCAAGGATCAACTTGTCATGTCCTTGTTACTCAACACTTTGGAGAAACATGTTGTTGAGATATTCAGTTACTGTGAATCCTTGCAAGATTTGTGGAAATCTGTGAAGGATATGTATGGGAACTAGAATAACTACGCCAGGGTATTCCAATTGAAAAGAGATATTGCTTGCCTCCAGGAAGAAAATAAGTCTTTTGTTCAACATTTAGGGCCTCCCTCACACCACGGATCCCACTATTCTTCTTAAAAGAGTTGAGGAGAATAAGATCTATCAACTGCTCGCAAGCCTCAGCTCAGAATATGAGGATCTCTGGAGTCACATATTAATGAGCGTGGAGCTACCATCATTCAAGACTGTTTGTGTCACAGTGCAACGTGAAGAAGCAAGAATAAGGGTGATGAATGTGGAGCCTAATCTCAAGCTATATGAGGCTCAAGGGTATGTTGCAAACCACAGAAACCATGATGCCAAAATGTACCGAGGAAAGACTCCACATCTAAAGTGTAAGTATTGCAATGCATATGGTCACACATAAGAGAGGTGTTGGGAGCTGCACCCTGAACTCAAGCCCAAATTAAAAGACAATAGGATGATGGTTCCAAGATCCTCATCAGTGGCTCCTCTCAAGGCTTAGCATGTTGCCAACCATGCTACCAACTCACTCACTCATGGCTTGATGGATTTCACAACCAATCCTGTTACTCTTATCAACGAGTTTGCAACTTACTTGCAAACCAAGAATCATGGAGAAGCTGCACAAACATCAAGGGTGAAGGGAACAAACAAACTACACTTCTTGGACAGTTTGCAGGATTTCTAGCTGATCATGATCATGTTTCACAAGATGCAGTCCCAAGTATCTTCAAAGCATTCTCAACTACACTATAAACTAGTTTTAATCATGATTGTTGGACAATTAACTCAGGTGCTTCTGATAACATAACAAATAAAGCCTCAAACTTACATGATTTTCAAGTCTTGTCAAAACCATCTCATGTGTCAATTGCAAATAGAAAAAATGTCTTGGTCATGGGAAGAGGAAAACTAGGTTTAGTCTCAAACACCATAGAGTCTACTTCCTTATACGTACCCTCTTTTCCATTTCAGTTGATGTACGTAGGACAACTCACTAACACTCTAAATTACCTAGCCATATTCTCACCCACAAATGTAATTTTTCAGGATGCTCACCAAGAGGACGATTGGTGAAAGATTCTATCAAAATGGTCTCTATTATTTTTGCACGAAACCCCTTTTGTCAAAAGCCCTTCAAGTTCAACCAAGCTTTTCCAAGAATCAACAACTTTGTCACCAAAGGCTAGCCCATCCATCCGAAGTTGTTTTGTCAAAACTATTTCCCAAGTTTTGTCACCTATTGATTAAGTGTGATACTTGTCATTTCTCAAAGTTTGCTAGGTTACCTTTTGGAACCTCAATGTAAGGATCTAGCATACATTTCGAACTTGTTCACACCGATGTATGGGGTCCTACTATTGAATCAATGGAAGGTTACACATACATTGTCATATTTGTAGATGATTGCACTCGTGTCACTTTTCTTTATCTCATGAAATCTAAAAGTGAAGTTTCAACTATCCTTCAAGACTTTCATACACTCGTGTCCAACCAATTTCATTCAACTATTAAAACACTAAGATCAGATAATGGCATTGAGTTTTTATCCAACACCATGGTTCAATACTTGAGTTCAAAATGAATTGTACATCAAACTAGCTATGTGGGAACCCCACAGCAAAATGGGATTGCTGAACGGAAGAACCGAGACCTACTTGAAAAGACTCGTGCATTGATGTTACACATGAATGTTCCAAAGAAGTTTTGGTCCTATGCAATTTTGACAGCTACATACCTCATCAACCGACTACCCAGTCATGTTCTATGGTTTAAATCTCCTTGTGAAACTCTAGAAAAGAGGTCTATCAACCTGTCTCACTTGAAAGTGTTTGGTTGCTCATGCTTTGTTCATGTGTAGCCTCAACATCGTGACAAACTGGAGGCTAGGGCTGCAAAATGTGTGTTTGTAGGGTACTCATCTACACAAAAAAGGTACAAATGCTTCAATCCCCTACCAACAAAATGCATTGTCTCAAGAGATGTTTTTTTTTTATGAAGACACTCATTTCTTCTAACCACCAAGCATGCTTCTGGTGGAGGGGGGTCTCTACATGACTTGGTCCCATTACCTATGTACATAGAACAAGATGATGATGTTCCAGCAAGGCACTCAAGGCAATGGGGAGGTGCACCAAGTCACAAACCTCTCAAATCCATAGGTCATTTCACAAGAGGACGTTGAGCATGGCTCTAAAAATCAAGTTGACAATGAACAATCATCACAGCCAACTCAAGGTGCACGAAGAAATCTTGCTTGGACAAGAAAACCTCCAGCGAGGCTATTGGACTATGTCACTTATGCCTTAAGGTACCCTATCTCTGATGTACTACATTACTTAAAGTATTCAACTTCTCACCGTGCATTTCTTACTGAAGTCTCCAAAATTGCTGAACCAAGAACATTCTTAGAAGCTGTTTCCTTGCCATATTGGAAATTAGCTATGGCTGAAGAGCTGAATGCATTGGAAGAGAACAATACCTGGAGCATTGTCAAGTTGCCTCTAGGAAAGAATGCTGTTGGAAGCTGGTGGTTTTACAAAACTAAGCTCAAGGCAGATGGTTCAATAGAAAGGCATAAAGAATGCCTTTCTCCATGAAGAACTTCAAGAAGTCTACATGCAACCCCCACTAGGTTACACTCAAGTGGAAAAAAGAATGGTTTGTAAACTACATAAGGCAATCTATGGACTCAAGCAATCTCCGAGAGCATGGTATGCCAAGCTAAGTTTTGTCTTAGAAAAAACAGAGTTCATAAGAAGCAATGTTGATTCCTTGTTATTTATTTGAAGTGGTTCAAGTGGAAAACTTGTGGTTCTCATCTATGTTGACGATCTAATCATCACTGGTGACAATGAGAGTGAATCAAAGCCTTGAAACACTCCTTACACCACACATCTTCCATCAAAGATCTTGGGAGATTAAAGTACTTTCTTGGCATTGAAATGACCACCTCTCACAAAGGGTTGTTCCTCAGTCAAAGAAAGAATGTTGTTAATTTACTCACTGAGGCTAATCTCTATTGCAAGCCTGCCATCACACCTATTGACAGCAAAATGAAGATTGATTCTACTGGAGAACCTCTCACCAACATAAGCTACTACCAAAGATTTGTTGGTAAGCTTATCTACCTCACTATCACACATCCAGACATCACCTATGTTGTCAGCTTAGTTAGTCAGTTTATGCATGCTCCCACAATGCAACATCTTTACCTTGGTAAATGTGTTCTTCGTTATCTCAAAGGTTCATTGGACAGAGGCATTCTTATGTCAAACAATCAGTCCATAGAAATTAGTGCGTACACCGATGCAGACTGGGCAGGTAATGCAATTGACAGAAAATCTACCATTACATATTGTACTTTCATTAGGGGAAACCTCGTGACATGGAAGAGTAAGAAGCAACATGTTATAGCACGATTGAGTGCTGAAGCAAAGTATTAAGCAATGGCAGCCACTGCATGCTTACTGATTTGGCTTAAAGGCTTGGTTTCAGATTTAGGGCTCTCACATCAAGCCCTTATGTCTCTCATGTGTGATAACCAAGCTGCCATGCACATTGTAGCTAATCCTGTTTTTCATGAAAGAACCAAGCACATTGAGGTGGACTGCCATTTCATCTGAGCTCAAGTTCAAACACAAGTCATTCAGACTCAATTCACTCAAAGTCATGATCAATTGGCTGACTTATTTACTAAGGCTCTACCCTTTTCTCAGTTACATAGGCTTCTGAGCAAGCTTGGCTCGACTACACTTCACGATCCAGCTTGAGGGGGAGTGTTGGAACCAGTCACACTAAACCCTAGCATGTCATCTCATATCAAGTCCACAAGTAACCATAGATACACAAGTCAACCGCCAGTTTTTCTAGTTCCTTGATTCAAGGCACTTAACTTGCTGATTACTTCTTAGTCTAGGATTTGATGTAAATCACCTTAAATTAAGGAAAAGCTTGTGTCCTAGGTTTAACCGGTCTCTAGGGTTTCATGTAAAGATGGTTGCTTCTAACCATTTGTTTCTCTTGCCTGTATATACTGCATTGTACATTCGGAATTACTCATGAAATAGAAAACACTTTGAAACAAAAAATCTACAGTTTTAATCATAGAGAAAGATGATGCAAATTGATAACGATTATGACCCAAATTGTTTTTCATATCAAGTTTTCTTGCAATTTTATGCTAGGGAGTAGGGATACCATATTTTGTAGACCGCATGATGTAGCAGTTGATAGTTGGATTCTTTCTTTAATGATTTGAATAATAAGTCCAACCATCAACTAACACATCATGTGATCTATGAGTGTGATTGAAGTAGTTGGTCTCTCTAGCATCACTCCGATATCCCATATTGAATTAATCAATTGAATGGGAATAAAAACATCTTGGTTTTGTCAAATACGTTTACCTAAAATAGATATTAAAAGATTAATGAGTAGTTCAGAGATAAGTTTGTAATATGAGACATTAATTACACACAAAAATGGGTCGCCAGTCGAAGACATAGATTGGTGGCTTTCTCCATAAAGGATTAGTTTGCAGAATTAGGGTAATGTATGACTATGATTTCTACTATTCTACTCTTAACGGGAATTGGGCTGGGTCATGTATGAGTATGGTTTCGAACTCAAACAAATATAATAAGTTATCCTCATTCATATGAGTCGAACTTAAGATCTTTTAGTTTGCTAATATAAGTATGATTAAATATTCAACAAAATCGCCATTATAAAAAACCTTAACTCAGTAAAATTTAATCTTGTCCCAACATTTTTGTAAGAAAATTGCATGAAAAACATAATAATGAGCTTTTAAAGGATCAATTTGTTTATAATATATATATATATATATATATATATAGGTTTGTATATTTCAACGATTTAACCGTCTATTTTTGTGTTTCCTCAAAATGATCATTACAAAAGATCACCCAAATCCGAAGTCGTATGACCGTTGGATCAAATTTAGCGTTTCTTTAGTAAAAGGCGAAAGAATAGTTCGCTCTATGCTCACCCCGCGGCTGCATAAATTTAGTGTTTCTTTGTAGAACACTATAAAAAATTTGGATCAAAACGCTCCTTCAAAATACTACTTTCCTAGTGCATTGTTACAAACTGTTCAATTACTCGGTTATCATATAAGTATTAAATTAACACATTTAAATGATCTAATCAAGGATCTTTGAGTTTAATTCTGAGACTAATTCTTACTTGGCTAGCAAGTCTCCGTAGTATTTCTCTTCTAACAAGCAAAACTATTGGAGAGCAATCTTGCACTTCTGGTCTATACAAAACAAAGTTGAGTTTAATGCATCTTTGTTTTGCTAATCACTCTATTCAAAATTCAATGAAACTATAATTTGGGATTATTATTGTGCTAATCACCTTTTTATATTATAAAATACGTAGAAACTAACTTATATATCAACAGGTTTTAGGAAGCCTGATGCGTTCTAAAAATAGCAGGCGTGAATGGTCGTCAATTCTAGAAAGTAAAATATGGGAATTACCAAATGAAGAGGAGAAAATCATGTCGGTCTTGAAGTTGAGTTTTGATAATTTAACACCGTCATTATTGAAGCAATGTTTTGCATATTGCTCAATGTTTGTGAAAGATTTTGAAATTGAAAAAGATGACTTGGTCCAGCTCTGGATGGCTCAAGGATATCTCCATTCTTCTACCAACGTGAGTATGGAGGATATAGGTAATGAATATTTTAATATTCTATTGCAAAATTCTTTATTTCAAGATGCTAGAGAAGAGTACAGTATTACCATTTGCAAGATGCACGATCTGGTGCATGATCTTGCAGAAAAAGCATTCAAATTTGAAAGCTTGACGCGAGACTTGGATCAGATGGATGATGATGCACTTGAGATTCAGCATGTTGCGCGGATTTCTTCCACTACACTTGAAAGAATTCCAAAAGGGAGTGTTAAGAGATTGCGGTCGTTGTTTGTTGATTGCAAGGTCCCTAGTGGTAACATCTTTGAAAGGTTTAAAGGTTTACGGATGTTGAATTTATTCGATGCTGAAATTGAGGAGTTGCCCAATTCAATTGGAAAGTTGAAACGCTTGAGGTATCTCAACATTTCCTGGACAGGAATAAAAGAACTCCCAAAATCTGTTGGCAAGCTCTATAATCTTCAAACGTTAAGAATGTTAAGAGCATGGAGGCTTAAAACGTTTCCTAGGGAAATGGAAAATTTGATCAACTTGAGACATGTTTATTTCGACGGGGATGTGGAAGTTCCATTTGGAATGACAAGATTGACTCATCTGCAAACACTATCTTCTTTTAAATTGGATAGAGCAAGGCGTCATAGACTTGATGAGCTAGGTGGGTTAAATGAACTGAAAGGGAAACTAGTTATTGGATCATTGGAATTTGTGAGAGACAAGGAAGAAGCAATGAAATCAAAATTAGTGAAAAAGGCAAACCTACGAAAATTGATATTAAAATGGGGGTGGGTCCCTCCTGAAGAAAGAAATGGCAATTTTCTTGACGAGGATATTCTTGAAGGACTCCAGCCGCACCCCAACATAGAAAGCTTGAGGATTGAGGAATTCAAGGGTACTAAATTTGCATCATGGATGATGAGCGATTCGTTGCCCATCAATTTAATAGAGATTGAGTTAAGCTGTTGTGTAGAATGTGAAGCAGTCCCACCACTCGGACACTTGCCGAATCTTAGACGTATTTTATTTGAGAATATGGAGAAGCTTAAATGTGTTGGAGTTGAGTTTTATGGTTATAAATACATTAATAATGATGAGGCGGCCACGGAGGTGACTTTGTTTCCAGCATTGAAAAGCTTATCATTTATCCATTGCCCATCATTAAGTGAATGGAAGGAAGCGGTTGTTGAGAAAGTGAGGTCAACAGGTGAGAAAGCAGCCTTAGTAGTGTTTCCCTGCCTTGAGCAGTTGACAATAGAGCATTGTCGGGGATTGGCAAGTGCTCCCACTCATTTTCCATCTCTCAGGGAGTTAGATATACGTTATGTTGATAACGCCATGCCAATAGAAAATATATGCAGTCGAGTAACCAATCTCCGTGAATTGAGAATTAGGAGTTGTGAGAAATTGTTGAGCTTGTGTTGTGGGTTAGACTATTGCCCTTCACTTGAGACAGTGGAAATTAAATATTGCCGCAATCTAGAATCCTTCCAAATTTCATCATCCCAGTCTCTTGAGGAGTTGAAAATAGTTGATTGCCCAAAGTTAAGATGCACTTCAATTCAGAATATGCCCTCACTCCGTGATTTGGTTATTGAGAGATGCACTACTCTCGAGGAAGACTTGTCTTTAAACGGTTGCACATCCCTCCGTCATTTGATTATTAGATACTGCGATGGATTCAAAAGTATACTGAGTGGGCTCCTTTCTTGTACCAGTCTTCGCACAATGGATATTTATAAATGTCCAAATTTGAGGACTTTGTCGGGTCCTGGGCTACAAACCCCCGTCTCTCTTGAACATCTAAGTATCAAGCATTGCAGTAATCTGGAGGCTCTTCCCAGTTTAGACAACCTCACATCCCTCCTTGAATTGTCTATTGGCAACTGCGATCGATTAACAAGTATACCAAGTGGCCTCGCATCCTGCACATCTCTTACCAAATTACTGGTCGACTCATGCGACAATTTGATATCTCTGGCGGATCACAATGTGTCCAGCTTGCAATCTCTTTCCTCTTTATATTTATCTGAATGTGGGAAATTACAATATTTTCCCAAGGGGCTGCACTCTCTATCTCGTTTGGAAGTGTTGTCTATCGGTGCCTTCTGCCAAGAGCTCGATTCTTTCCCTGATTTTCAGGTCCCATCGAAACAATTAAGATTGTACGGGTGGCCTAAGCTCCAGTCTCTGCCTCAGCAAATTCAACACTCTGCTTCTCTAACACGTTTGTCCATTTCTTGTTTCGATGGTCTGGAGGCTCTTCCAGAATGGTTGGGCAACCTCACATCTCTTACACGGTTGTCAATTTGGAAATGTAAGAATCTGATGTATCTGCCTACGGTCGAAGCTATGCAACGCCTAACCAAATTACATGATCTAGAGATTGGACGGTGTCCCCGTCTGGAAGAAAGATGCGCCAAGGACAGCGGCCCAGAATGGCCAAAGATTTCTCACATTCCACATCTGAGGTAATTTTTTTTTTTGGAGTGCTCATTTTTATCTCCAATCAATTATCCATGTATCTTTTGTTCTAAATTCTTCATTCACTCTCGTTTTCTGCAGTATTGACAGCAGAATGATTGTCACTTGATGATTGAAAAGGCTCTTACCAGAGTGGTGACGGAACCTTTCATGAATCGACCATTTATCTATTCACCGTTGTGGGAATCTCAAGTATCTATCGGCACTCGGCAGTAGGGAAGCCAATCCAAATTTTACTGTTGCCTTCTAAATTAAAACAAGCAATCCGCCCGACTGGCGCAAGATTTCTCGCAGTTTTGTACAAGGTTGTGTTTCTTCTCACTGTGTGCAGGTCCTCTCAACTCACACAGTTTTATTAGACCAATTTTATGGAAGGTAATATGTTTAGTCAATATGTAACTTCTTTGTTCAAAGCTTTCATCCTTGAATAAAACCATGTCAAGTTATCTAGAATACATTAATCACAGTCTTCACAGATAAAATTGGATTTGTATTTCAGCTCACTTAAGAAGGGATTCCAGTAAGAGAATTGCATTAGGAGAGGAGAGCAAGCGCAGCACAACGGAAACTTAGATGCAAAAAATAGCAGATTTCGGTCTGTCCATGGTTTTTTTTCCAGTGATAATGAGACTTGTGTAGGGACATTGGTCATGGGCAGAACGGGTTTCTCATCGGAGGAGTTGAGAATAGTTGGAGGCTGAAAGCTAAGATGCACTTCAATTCACAGTTTGCCCTCACTCCGTCTTTTGTGAATTGAGAAGTCGGTAGATTTCTTACCGGAGGAGGAGGAGGATGACTTGTCTTTAAACGGTTGCACATCCCTCCATGATTTGTTTATTGAAAATTGCAATGGATTCAAAAGTATACTGAGTGGGCGCCATTCTTGTACTAGTCTTCGCACACTAAGGGGGTGTATTCAATTGGGATTTTAAGGGATTTTAATTCTTTTAATGAATCTAGGGGTATTCAATCAGGATTTTAAGGGATTCTCTGAAATTCTAGGTGTATTCAATTAGAATTTTTAAATAGTTTATTAAAATCCTTAGAAATCCAGGTGTATTCAATTAAGATTTTAAAGAAGTTTATAACATTCCAGATGTATTCAATTAGAAATTGATTTTAAAGAATTTGAGAAAGTCGAGGAATTAGAGGGAATTGGAGAGATTTCATAGTGTATTTTAAGTAACCACAAATCTCACCTCTTCCCATGAGATTTCGAGGGAATTGAATCAAAATTTTATATGGAATCTCTACAAATCAATTAAACTCCATAAAAATCCATAGATTTATAAATCCATTAAAATCTCTCACATTCTCAATTGAATACACCCCCCTAAGTATTTGGCATTGTCCAAATTTGAGGACGTTGTCGGGTCATGGGCTACAAACCCCCGTCTCACTTGAAGTTCTAATTATCAGCGAATGCCCTGATCTAGAGGCTATTCCCAGTATAGACAACCTTACATCCCTCACTGAGTTGCAGATTGTGGATTGCGGTCGATTAACAAGTATACCGAGTGGGCTTGCATCCTGCATATCTCTTACCAGTTTGTATGTCGATGGTTGCCACAATTTGATATCTCTAGCAGATCACAATTTGTCCAGCTTGCAATCTCTTTCCTCTCTATCTGTATCTAATTGTCGGAAATTACAATATTTGCCCAAGGGGCTGCACTCTCTATCTGGTTTGAAAAGGTTGTGGATCGGTAAGTTCTGCAAGCAGCTCGATTCTTTCCCGGATCTTCAGGTCCCATCGGAAAAATTAATATTATACGGGTGGCCTAAGCTCAAGTCTCTGCCTCAGCCAATTCAACACTCTACTTGTCTAACATCTTTGTCCATTTATAAGTTCCATGGTGTGGAGGCTCTTCCAGAGTGGTTGGGCAACCTTACATCTCTTACAAAGTTGGAAATTTCCTATTGTAAGAATCTGATGTTTCTGCCTGCGGTCGAAGCTATGCAACGCCTAACCAAATTACATAAGCTAGAGATCCGATGGTGTCCCCGTCTCCAAGAAAGATGCGCTAGGGACGGCCCAGAATAGCCAAAGATTTATCACATTCCAGTTGTCAAAGGTAATTTTTATTTTGGAGCCCTTATTTTTATTTGCAATCAATTATCCATGTATATTTTGTCCAATATTGTTCACTCACTCTCGTTTTCTGCAATAAACGGGATATTAGTCGGGTGAAGAATCGGAAGCATTGTCACTTGATGATTCAAAAGGCTCTTGCCAGAGTGATGACGGAACCTTTCGTGTGTGGACGAACTATCTATTCAGAGCTGTGGGAATCTCAAGTATCTACGGCAGTGGGTTCACCCAACGAACACAGTTTTATTATACCAATTTTATGGAAGGTAATATGTTTAGTTAAAATGTAACTTCTTTCTTCCATCTTTCATCCTCGAATAAGATCATGTCAAGTTATGTAAAATACGTTAATCACAGATAAATTGATTTGTATTTCAGCTTACTTAAGAAGGGAATCCAGCAAGAGAATTGCATTAAGAGAGGAGGCAATCCCAGCGCAACGAAAACTTGGACTCGAAAATAGCAGATTTGAGCATGTCCATCGTTTTTTCCAGTGATAATGGGACTTGTGTGGTGACATCAATCATGGGCACAGCGGGTTATCTTGATTTGTTCGTGGTTTAGATTTTTTATCATGTTATGGATACAAATGTAAGAACAGTTAGTGGTGTATGATTACTTTTTTTGGTCTGCAGCATGAGTTTTGTGCAGTGTCATGTCAACTAACACAACGTTTGGAAATGGAGGTGCCTAGGCATCCAGAAAGAACTCCAGGCTCAAATGAATAAACTCGTGTTACGATTTCACCATACCATAGTTCACCTAGAGTGATTTCCAGATGTTCAGATTCCACAAATGCAGGTTCCATGACTGCACCATGCTAGTATTAACTACATTGTAATATTTGGGAATTGAAAGAAAATCAACAAGAAAGATGAAGAGAAGAAAGATCAATACAGAGAGTTTGAGAGACAGAGAGTTTAGAGAGAGAAATAGGATTTGTATTAACTAACTCAAATGAAGATTACACATACTGTTTATATAGAAATCCTGACTACTTTAACCAAATACTAACTACCTAACTATATTACTAACTGTATTACATTTTCACCCTTAATACTCCCCCTCAATCTCAACTGGGGAAACTCATATTGAGATTGGAGCAGACCGATCAATGGCGCTAAGGAAGAGTAACCCAATTCCCCATGTTTGGGTGCACCAATCTTCCAAAAGTTGAAAGCAATTTTCAAAGTACTTTAATCAGACATCAACAACTTCATCTTATAAAAAGAACAAGAAAACAACTGTTCCATCATGGGTGTGTAAAATGGCAAAAATGAGTATCTTCTCTGCTTCAAATGTTATCAAACTGTGTCCAATTTCAACTCATTCAACTTGATCTGGGCAAATAATGTTCCATTGCTCTGTCACTTGCAGTTTGGAGTAGTGTGTAATAATGAAGTTGTTCATCTTGCTATTTCCAGCTTCTGACTCCAACCAGTGGACCGAAATCATGACATCCTTCCCCTGCCTCTAACAGTATCTTCACAAAGAACAACCTTCTATAAAGGAGTCGTAGCACACCCTCATGCCGGTTATAACAATTTCTTACGGGATTACCCTTCATGGGATTCACCGTCAACAATCTCATTCAACTTGGCTTCGGCCTTTAATATTTACAAAAACAGAAAATTAACAAACTATAGTGTGGCATCGGCCTTAACTATAGCACCACGGGATCGCCCTTTGTGGATTTTACCAAAAAACAACTTCTTTGAACAATGGCATCGGCCTTAACTATAGCACCACGGGATCGCCCTTTGTGGATTTTACCAAAAAACAACTTCTTTGAACAATGGCATCGGCCTTCACAATTGAAAATCAACATCTATGTAGGATTACCCTTCGTGGGATTTACCTACTCACATCACGGAATTACCCTTTGTGGGATTTACCGTTAACAACTTCTACCTTTCGTGGGATTTACCTATTCACATCACGGAATTACCCTTCGTGGGATTGACCGTTCACAACTTCCTTCATCGTATAACCGGACTTACTGTAGATTCATGCTAACAACTGAGTTGGTTAGACTATGAAATTATAGGCTGAGATAAGAAAATATACTGCACAAACACGATGTAAACGAATTGTAAGTAATCCCATCGGGATCTATTCCTTTGCTTAACATTTCTGATACCATTTGCGAAGCTCAAACTCTGTCTCCACAGTTCCACAATGCACTAAACATGGTGTTGTATGAGCTCACATTCGGAGGACATCCCACTTCACAGTGCACTAAACATGCTGTCATATAGAGGCCAAAATGCAAATATAAGAACAAGAAACAACTCATGCAAGACACTGTTGGGTTTCTGATTCCCTTAGTCCAGGTCCATCAATGTTGTAAATGACAACACATACTATACATTCATTTGTCGTATCTTCCGATCTATCAAAAAATGCAAGAAGATCATCCATGAACCAAGAACTAAATGGTTGTTGCACTTTTGACGAGCTTCTAGAATGAGTCCTTTTGGTTTTTAATTGATCCCACAAAAGTTCAGCTAAGACTACCACAAAGACTTCACATGAAACGTTTGAGTTGGGCATTTCAACAAACACCTGGACTGCACCCATGTCTGATCTTTCTTCCATACCAGAGAACAGAGTAGAGATCAAAGAATTTACTGACCCATTCCTTCAAACAGTTGGAGTGCACATAATCATAACCTGAAGAGCTCCCAAGATTTGCAATCTTGAACAAACAACAACCATTTCCTATACAAAAACAGATTATAAAACAGTACTTTCTTTGAGCAACAGTCCAAACTGAACAAATTGAATCCCCAAAACCATCTTCAAGAATCAGAATTACCAATTAAGTAATTAACAACTGTTTCTTCATATACCCAATTAAGGAATTAGCAACACCACCTCCTTGAATCGAAAAACTGTGCTAGTCATCTACTAATCAAAGCAAGTAATTGAACCCAATTCACAGTCCACTGTTCTGATCAAAGATCTCTAAGAACCCTCCAAGAATCAACAAATCAAGTTACCCAATAATGAAATTAAGCAACTGAATCGGAAAAGCAACATTACCAGGCAAGTAGTGCAAACGCCAAGAGTTGCCCAACCGCCATGATCAAGATATCAAAGAAACCTCCGCAATCGGACCCAGAATACTGAGTCTCCTAGTACTGCTTTATGTACCTCTTAGCAAGATTAACGAGAAGAGCGGTTTCTTATTGTTGGAGACCTGAATTCTATTCTTCTTCGGCGCCTCAATCGATTGCGACGGTGGAGATGCTACTCTCTGCATTTGCTCTGCCACCATTTTGCTTTGAAATTTTCTCCAACTTTCGATCTCTCGCTTTCGATCGGGAATAGACTCATGAATTTGATCAGAAAGAAATCAACCCAGAAACACATCAACCCAGAAGTAAAAGAACGATCGTGGAAGCACCCAGAAACTTATCGTAATTCCTAACATCTAATGAAAATTTGGATAGAACTAAGCTAGAACCAAATGTAAAATAATGGGAAGTGAAACCACCAGAATCCATGGCGTGAGCCTGGTGGCTCTGATACCATATTAACTACATTGTAATATTTGGGAATTGAAAGAAAATCAACAAGAAAGATGAAGAGAAGAAAGATCAATACAGAGAGTTTGAGAGACAGAGAGTTTAGAGAGAGAAATAGGATTTGTATTAACTAACTCAAATGAAGATTACACATACTGTTTATATAGAAATCCTAACTACTTTAACCAAATACTAACTACCTAATTATATTACTAATTGTATTACATTTTCACCCTTAATAGCTAGGTAGCTACAAACTCTCATTCATCCCATGTTCAAAACTGGGTGGGTTAAAAATGGGTGTGGGATCTGTTATGTAGTGAATCAGTGTAGGCTACATAATAATATGTATCTATATTGTACTCAACTTAATCACTTTTGTCCAATACTTCGGGTTGTATCACAGCACATAACCCTAACAGGAACATTGTTTGAAATGCTTTGACTAGAAAATACGTTGGCTTGACCAAATTGCTCTAGTATGAACATTGCATTTTGATTGACGTACACTAAGCATCCCCATGTAATAAGGATCATTCGCACTCATATACGTTTTTCAATTTTTTTGGCCGGGATATTGTCATGCGTTTTAAATACCTGGTAGTTCATAGGCTGCAATGAGACAGAGAGATGAAGATCTCAACTGGTTTCCTCGTCCTGCTGCTCTGGGCAAGTTTTGTGAATGGCGTTGCGTCCTTCAGATTTATATTTTCTATCTGCTGATAAGTTATTTTTAGCCGACCCCACTTAGTGGGAAAAGGCTTTGTTGTTGTTGTTGTTGTTGTTGTATCTGCTGATAAGTTATTTTTAGATTAGATTCAAGCAAGCTCAAGAAGAATATTGTTGTTCCAATACTTGGATCATTACCATCAACAATGGCACTGGATGATTCAGAAGGGTCTTACCAGAGTGATGACGGAACCTTTCATGTGTCGACGATCTATCTACTCACCGTTGTTGGAACCTGAAGTATCTGTCGACAGTAGGAAAGCCAGTCTACATTTTACTGTTGTGTTCTAAATTAAAAGAAGTAACCTGCTCAACTGGCCCAAGATTTCTTGCATTTCTGACAGTCAAGTGTAAGTTTCTTTCCCGAAACAGTAATTCGTGATTGGTTCTGTTCTCTTGTCTTAGTTGCATTTAGTTTGCAAAATCATACACTTTCTAGCCTCATGGAAGAACATTAATTTCTTTGCTTTCACAATCTTTTTGGAACAACACTTTAGACTTTTGTGGAGATTAAGCTTTTTAGTCCTTAAATATGAGTTAATAGAAGTACATTTGCAACTGTTTACGAATCCGTGGTCATTCTGTATATGTTATAACGTCCAATGTGCATTCGAATATGTTCTAAGACATCTTCCACATGGTGTTATGGTGCAGATACAATTTTATGAGACCAGTTTTGTGTAAGGTAGTCTGTTTAGCCAATATACACCTTCTTTCTTCGGTCTTTCATCCTTGAATAAAATCATGTCGAGTTATCTAGAATACGTTAATCACAGATAAATTGGATTTGTATTTCAGCTACACTCAAGAAGGGAATCCAATAGAAGAATTGCATTAAGAGGGGAGAGCAAGCACAGTACAACGAAAACTTGGATGCGAAAAGAGCAGGTTTCGGTCTGTCTGTGGTTTTTTCCAGTGATAATGGGACTCGTGTGGTGACATAGGTCATGGGCAGAGCGGGTTATCTTGATTGCGAGTATATTCAAATTTCTGTGTTCTATTAGATTGTTTATCATGTTATAAATACAAATGTATGAACAGTGAGTGGTTTATTTATGATTACTTTTTATTGTCTGCAGGTACTATAATTATCAAAGGTTGAATTTTAGAGTTTTACGGGCCAACCTGCAAGGCTGCAATCATAGAAAGTGATGATCTTGTCTGCATCGTGGAGTGGGTGAATTCTGAGTTCCAGAATGGTGATTTAACAACTAATTTGGATCGAAGGATTCAAAGAAAGTTCGATGTGAATTCGGTCAGGAAATCATTAAAGACAGCAATGGCATGCACAACTTCCACCTCCCAACATAGAGCCACCATGGTTGGTTTTGTGCTGTGCCAACTAATAAAATGTATGTAATGGAGGTGTCTAAGCATCGAGAAAGAACTCCAGGCTCAAATGAAGAAACTCTTGTTATGATCTCACAATACCAGAGTTCACCTAGAGTGATTTCCAGATGTTCAGATTCCACAAATGCACGTTCCATGACAGCAGCATGCTAGGTAGCTACAAACTCTCTCGTTCATCCCATGTTCAAAACTTGGTGGGTTAAAAATGGGGTTGGGATCTGTTGTGCAGTGAATCAGTCTAGGCTAAATACAAGTATGCATCTATATTGTCCTCGACTTAATCACTTTTGTCTAATACTTCGGGTTATCTCCCTGACTTGTATCACACCACATAACCCTAATAGGAACAATGTTTTAAATGCTTTGACTAGAAAATACGTTGGGTTGACCAAATTGCTCTCTTAGTATGAACATTGCATGATCCATTGATTGACGTAGACTAAGCATCCCCATGTAAAGGATCATGTATGTACTCTGCAAGTTGTGCAGCATGAGATTACAAATCAACACTGTCATATATGTTTTTCTGTTTTTTTGGTCAGGACATTGTCACACATTTTAAATACCAGGTAGTTCATAGGCTGCAATGAGACAGATGAAGATCTCAACTGGTTTCCTCGTCCTACTGCTCTGTGCAAGTTTCGTTCATGGAGAGTGCTGAATAGGTTAGCATTTTCTTTAACGAAAGCAAATGGTATTGCGTCCTTCAGATTTATATTTTCTATCTGCTGATAAGTTCTTTTTAGCTCAGATTCAAGCAAGTGCAAGAAGAACATTGTTGTTCCAATACTTGGATCATTACTTTCAACAATGGCCCTCCTTCAAGTTATAGTGCTCTTACTGGTCTGGAAGCTGAGAAGAATAAGAAAACCAGGTGCCATTTTATGCCCTTGATAATTATATAGTTAGAAATAGCGCTGCTACTATGGCGTAGTGGTATTCCTATCCAGTTAGAACTCATAACTTTTTGTCCTTAAGCTGCAGATGGAGAAACATAACAAAACACATGTAGCACACCAGTAGCATCAATGAAGTCCCAGTTTACTTGTGACGAGGTTTTAAAAATCACCAAAAACTTTCAAACTGAAATTGGGAAAGGAGGATTTGGGATTGTATACCATGGCTACTTGGAAGATGGCACTCAAGTTGCGGTTAAAATACTTTCTCCATCGTCAACTCAAGGAGCTAGGGCATTCCAAACAGAGGTTTGATAGTTAGGATTTTAATTCCTTGGAATTGCAAGTGCCTTGTCTCGTTGGTTAGAGATTGATAAGTTCCAACCCTTCTGCAAGGAGGTATCTTCCTCCACTTCTTCTACTTTGGGTCGAAGCATCTGGTTGAGAGAAGTCTCATGTTGATCAATGTTTTGATGATTAGCTCGCTCCTCATCAGGGATACCCATGTCGAAGGGAGGTTACCCTCCATGTTGGGGGGCACCCAGATGATGGTTGATGTCTACAGGGGCAACGAGCTCGCGTGTTTGAGTATGCCTAGTTTCGTGGAGCGTCTAAAAAAGCTTCTCATACTGCTCCCGGAGGATCTCATTCTTCATTGCTATCTTGTTGTTCTGAGCTTCTAGCTCATCGACTTTAGCTTGAAGAGTAGCCTTATTTCCTTCCTTCTTTCGTTGCTTTGCACTAGGTGCAAGATGGGTGTCATTCTGTGTGCTCTGGCTTCCTTTGCTCCCCATGTTGGAGAGGGATGCCTGGTCAAAAGAGAGTGTACGAATGGTGGAAACCAGCTTGGCAAAGCTGAAGAGAATGGGAATAAGTGTCGTTCCCACAGACGGCGCCAAATGTTGATGCACAAAATCAGTAAGGACTTTGGTACAACAGAAAATGTAAAGTTTGTGACCTTCGCTAGATTGCTCCGGTCACTAGTGTGGATAAGTATGTAAATGGATAGAGACAGGGAAGCAAACACAAGATGTACGTGGTTCACCCAGATTGGCTACGTCCACGGAGTAGATGAGTTCTCATTAATTGTGAAGGGTTTACACAAGTACATAGGTTCAAGCTCTCCTTTAGTGAGTACAAGTGAATGATTTAGTACAAATGACATTAGGAAATATTGTGAGAGAATGATCTCTATTTATAGAAGAGAGTTTCTAGTTTCATTCTGACATTGACACGTGTGATTGGCTTCTGATGTTGACACGTGTCGCGCTATGATTGGCTTCTGATGTCAACACGTGTCTCGCTGTGATTGACCTTCTGGTTGGAGGGAAACTCTTTTGGGTCCTTGACGCTATAACGTTGACCGATGCTCAGTAGTTTCGGGATTGGTCAAGTATGGTACAAACACACACAATGTCAAATATTAATTACAACACTCCCCCTTGAGTGTGTAAATACTCAAGTAGATATTGCATCAGATTTGTAAAAATAGTATGAAGTCGTCTCGTAGGCACTGATAGAGAAACATGCTAGTTTTAAATAAGGAACTTGCATATGAAAATAAGTCTTAAGGAGAAATATGAGTTAATGCAAAGTAAAGATTAAACGTCTAAAAGGACGCACACAAGGGTATGACAATCCCAAGATGGGTGTCTCATTAAAACCTTATTAGGTAGCAAAAACTTAAAGGAAAAAATGCTTCAAACTATTGGGAAAAAGAATATATTAAGGTCAAGTGAGACTCCTGGATAGACTCCCCCTAAGTTTAATTGGGCTAGGCCATATAATGGATTAGTCATTACTAGATCTCAAACTCAAATAAATATAATGTGTCATCACCATTCATATGAGTCAAACTTAAGACCCTTCAGTTACAGGTAAAAAAAATATCACTATACGTTAGTAATATAAGTATGATTAAATATTCAACATAATCGCCATTATAAAAAGCCTTAACTTGGTATATCTAATTTTGTCCAACATTTTTAAAGGAAAATTGCATGAAAAACATAATAGTGAGCTTTAAAGGGTCAATTTTGTTTATATAATATATATATATATATATATATATATATATATATGGATTAGGATTGGGAGACACATTTTTTGACACAATCCGTAGGCCACTTCACATCGAACTTCAATGATCTAAATAGTCTATTTTGTAAGTCTCGATTCATAGATCATTCTTGCAACAATTCAATTCAATCTGAAATCATTTGCCTATTTAATTATCAAGATAAAATTTCGTTGTTTTTTATATAACAAGTATTCGTTAATTTCTTTGAACCCATTTAGATGTCTTAAATATTTCCAATTTGGCTAATATTTTGCAAGGATGATCTTTGAGGTGCAACTTAAAAAATAGACGGTTCGGATCGTTAAAATTCGATGTGGTGTGGGCCCCACAACAGATCCCTAATTTTATAAAAAAAATGTGGATACCTTCCCTTAAAACCAATATATATATATATATATATATATATATATATATATATATATTGTGTGTTTAATGTATTTCAACAATTAAACCGTCTTATATTTGACGTCTTCCCTAAAATATCATCTCTACCAAAAAAACCATTGGATCAAATTTAGTGTTTCTTTAGTAAAAGGCGAAAGAATAGTTCACTTTGTGCTCATCGCGCAATTGCGTAAATTTAGTGTATCTTTGTAGAATCATATCGGCTTTTTCCTTCACTACAAATAAATGTCAAAATGAGTTTGGATTTTTCTAATTTTTTACAAGAAAGATTTATGAATGATGAATTGAAATATAAATGATTGAGATCCTTGAAAAAAAAAAATTATAGAATGAAAGCCACGAAAACTTGTGTTAAAATATGTTTCAAAAATGAGTGTCTCCGAAGCTTAACCTTATATATACATGTCAAAGTAGAAAATGTGGATCAAAGCGCTCCTTCAAAATACTACCTTCCTAGTGCATTGTTACAAACCATTCAATTACCCAGTTATCATAAGTATCTAATTGAAACTTATAGCTCCAATACTACAGTATCATGGTATTTCTCTTCACTTGAAAGTGAGAGGTCTTAGGTTCAAATCTTGTGGATGGTGAATTCGATACCAAATTATGTTATCCATTATGTGGTTTAGCCGAACTCTCCCTCCCTTTAATATAAAAACATATTGATGTACTAAAAAAAAATTAAAACTTATATTTAACTGATCTAATAAAGTATCTTTCAATTAATTCTGAAACCAATTCTTACTTGGCTAGCAAGTCCCTTTAGTATTTCTCTTCTAACAGGAGCAGTCTTTCACTTTTCATCGATACAAAACAAAGTTGAGTTCAATGCGTCATTATCTTGCCAATAATGTTAGTCAAAATTCAATAAAACTAAAATTTGGCACTGTTATTATTTTGCTAATCAGGTTTTATTATTCTACAACATATAGAAACTAATTATCTTATGTATCAACAGGTTTTAGGAAGCTTGATGCATTCACAGGAATGGTCGTCAATTCTAGAAAGTAAAATATGGGAATTACCAGATCGAGAGGACCGAATCATGCCGATCTTGAAGTTGAGTTTTGATAATTTAAGAGAGCCATCATTGAAGCAATGTTTTGCATATTGCTCAATGTTTGAAAAAGATTGTGAGATTGAAAAAGATGACTTGGTCCAACTCTGGATGGCTCAAGGATATCTCCATTCTTCTCCCATGGAGGATAAAGGTAATGAATATTTTAATATTCTATTGCAAAACTCTTTATTTCAATATGCTAGAAACTATCAGTATGCACATAGAAGAGAAAGAGAAGATGAGTATGGGAATACCAAATGCAAGATGCACGATCTTGTGCATGATCTTGCTGAGGAAGTATTCAAATTTGAAAGCTTGACACGAGACTTGGATCGGATGGACGATGGAGCACTTGAGATTCAGCATGTTGCCCGGATTTCTTCCACGACACTTGAAAGATTTCTACAAGGAAGCGTTAGGAGATTGCTATCATTGTTTCCTCCACGACGCTTTGAGTTCAGTAACATGTTTGAAAGGTTCAGAGATTTACGGACATTGAATTTATACATGGCTGTAATAGAGGAGTTGCCCATCTCAATTGGAAAGTTGAAACGCTTGAGGTATCTCAATATTTCAAGTACAAAATTAAAAGCACTCCCCAAATCTATGGGCAAGCTCTATAATCTTCAGACGTTAAGAATGTCAAATACAGACAATCTTAAAACGTTTCCTAGGGAAATGGAAAATTTGATCAACTTGAGACATGTTTATTTTGATAAGGATAAGGAAGTTCCATTTGGGATGAAAAGATTGACTCATCTGCAAATGCTACCTTCTTTTAAATTGGATAGAGCAAGGCGTCATAGACTTGATGAGCTAGGTGGGCTAAATGAACTGAAAGGGGAACTAGTTATTGGATCATTGGATTTTGTGAGAGACAAGGAAGAAGCAATAAAATCAAAATTAGTGGAAAAGGCAAACCTACGAAAATTGATATTAAAATGGAGTTGGGTCCCTCCTGAAGAAAAAAATGGCAATTTTCTTAACGAGGATATTCTCGAAGGACTCCAACCGCACCCCAACTTAGAAAGCTTGACGATTAAGGAATTCAATGGTACTAAATTTGCATCTTGGATGATGAGAAATTGTCGAGTAACCAATCTCCGTCAATTGAGAATTAAGAGATGTGAGAAATTGTCGAGCTTGTGTTGTGGGTTAGAATATTGCCCCTCACTTGAGATGGTGAAAATTGAGGATTGCGGCGATCTAGAATCCTTCCAAATTCACCATCCCAATCTCTTCAGGAGTTGAAAATAGTTAATTGCCCAAAGCTAAGATGCACTTCAATTCAGTGTATGCCCTCACTCCGTGATTTGGTTATTGAGAGATGCACTACTCTCGAGGGGGACTTGTCTTTAAATGGTTGCACATTCCTATGTGAATTGACAATTAAATACTACGATGGATTCACAAGTATATTGAGTGGGCTCCATTCTTGTACTACTCTTCGCAAACTGAGTATCTGGGATTGTCAAAATTTGAGGACTTTGTCGGGTCATGGGCTACAAGTACAAACCCCCGTCTCTCTTGAGAAGATGGAAATATGGGAATGCCCTAATCTAGAGGCTATTCCCAGTTTAGACAACCTCACATCCCTCACTATATTGAATATTATGAGATGTGATGGATTAATAAGTCTACCGAGTGGGCTTGCATACTGCACATCTCTTACCCATTTGCTTGTTAGTGAATGCTCCAATTTGATATCTCTGGCGGATCAAAATGTGTCCAGCTTGCAATTTCTTTCCTCTTTACAATTATCTTTTTGTGGGAAATTGCAATATTTGCCCAAGGGGCTGCACTCTCTATCTCGTTTGAAAGTGTTGTGGATCGGTGCCTTCTGCCAAGAGCTCGATTCTTTCCCGGATATTCAGGTCCCATCGAAACTTGAAGAATTAAGATTGTACGGGTGGCCTAAGCTCAAGTCTCTGCCTCCGCAAATTCAACACTCTGCTTCTCTAACTAAGTTGGAAATTCGGAAATTCGATGGTCTGGAGGCTCTTCCAGAGTGGTTGGGCAACCTCACATCTCTTACTAAGTTGTCGATTCGGAAATGTAAGAACCTGATGTATCTGCCTACGGTCGAAGCTATGCCCAAATTACATGAGCTACTGATTGGACGGTGTCCCCGTCTGGAAGAAAGATGCGCCAAGGACAGCGGCCCAGAATGGCCAAAGATTTCTCACATTCCAGATCTGAGGTAGTTTTTATTTTTGGAGCCCTTATTTTTGGAGCCAATCAATTATCCATGTATATTTTGTTCAAAATTCTTCGTTCACTCTCGCTTTCTGCAGTATTATATGATTGAAAAGGCTCTTACCAGAGTGATGACGGAACCTTTCATGAATCGACCATCTATCTATTCACCGTTGTCGGAATCTCAAGTATCTATTGGCAGTAGGGAAGCCAATCCAAATTTTACCGGTGCGTTCTAAATTAAAAGAAGCACTTGCCCGACTGGCCCAAGATTTCTCGCATTTCCCAGAGTCAAGTGTAGGTTTCTTTCCCGAAACAGTAATTCATGATTTGTTCTCTTCTCTTGTCTTAGTTCCATTTGGTTTGCAAATATGTTCTAAGGCATGTTGCGCATGGTTTTTACTTGTTATGGTGCAGATACACTTTTGTACAAGGTTGTGTTTCTTCTCACTGTGTGCATGTCCTCTCAACTCACACGGTTTTATCAGACCAATTTTATGGAAGGTAATCTGTTTAGTCAATATGTAACTTCTTTGTTCAAGGTTTTCATCCTTGAATAAAACCATGTCAAGTTATCTAGAGTACATTAATCACAGATAAAATTGGATTTGTATTTCAGCTCACTTAAGAAGGGATTCCAGTAAGAGAATTGCATTAGGAGGGGAGAGCAAGCACAGCACAACGGAAACTTAGATGCAAAAAATAGCAGATTTCGGTCTGTCCAGGGTTGTCCTCCAACAGAGGGTTTCAAAATATTGAAGTGTCATGTCACTGGTTGCGGATGCAGATAGAAGCTCACATAAACTTGGGAAATGAGACTTCGGATAGCATTAGATATTGAGTTAGATAGGTGCTTAGTGTTATTTTGTATGCTAATATATATGCACAATCCAGTATTGTGCATAGAGATGTAAAGACAGCCAACATTCTCTTGAATTAAAACTTGGATGCAAAATAGCGATTTTGGTCTGTCCATGGTTTTTCCCAGTGACACTGAGACTCTGGTGGCATCAGTCATGGGCACAGCAAGGTATCTTGATTCCGAGCATGTTTAGATTTCTTGTTCTACTGTTCTTAGAATTTTGATTATGTTAAAAAAAACAAATCTATGTGCAGTGAGTGATCTATGATTACTTTATTTGGTCTGCAGGTACTATAATTAGCAAAGGTTGAATGAAAAAAATTTGATGTTTAGAGTTTTACAGGCCAACCTGCATTCATAGAAAATGATGATCTTGTCCACATAGTGGAGTGGGTGAATCTTGAGTTCCAGAACAGGGATTGAACGACTATTTTCGATCAAGGGCTTCGAGGATAATTTAAAGTGAATTCGGTCTGGAAGGCATCAGAGACAGCATGGCATGCCTCCCAACATAGAGCCACCATGAGTTTTGTGAATTGTGGAAATGGAGGTATCTAGGCATCGAGAAGGAACTCCAGGCTCAACACCATTTACTGGGTAGCTACTAGCTAGTTAGGATTTAATTGCAGCCAAATGAAGAGGAGGCAGTTGTCAATTTGGTCATCAACTTTCAAGTACAAAGTCTACTCCATTTGCTAAAGATAATAGTAACCAAAGAGTAAATACCAAGATGCACCATGAACAGTGGCCCAGAATGGCCAAAGATTTATCATATTCCAGATATAAGAGGTATTTTTTATTTTTATCTCCAATCAATTATTCATGTATATTTGGTTCAATATTGTTCACTCACTCTCGATTTCTCAAGTGTTAAGTGTTAAGTGTTAACCAAACATATTCCTTGCTTAGTTCAATCGGGACTGGTACGAATCTGAATAAAGAAAGATGCAACCTGCCCGACTGGCCCAAGATTTCACACATTTCCGACAGTCAAGTGTAGGTTTCTTTCCCGGAACAGTAATTCATGATCTGTTTTGTTCACTTGTCTTAGTTCCATTTGGTTTGCAAAATCATAGACTATCTAGCCTTGTGGAAGAACATTAATTATTTTGCTTTCATAATATTTTTGGAACAGGACTTTAGGCTTTTGTGGAAATTAAGCTTTTAGTACTTTTAGCCGACCCCACTTAGTGGGAAAAGGCTTTGTTGTTGTTGTTGTAAGCTTTTAGTACTTTATGTGTAATTAGAAGTAAAATTGCAAGTGTTTACAAGTCTCTGGCCATTCTGTATAACTTACAACATTCAACGTGCATTCGAATATGTTCTAAGGCTTGTTGTGCATGGTTGTTATGGTGCAGATACGCTTTTGTAGAAGGCTGTGTTTCTTCTCACTCTGTGCAGGTTCTCTCAACTAACACAGTTTTATGAGACCAATTTTGTGGAAGGTAATCGGTTTAGTCAATTGTAACTTTTTTCTTCAATCTTTCATCCTTGAATAAAATCATGTCGAGTTATCTAGAATACGTTAATCACAGATAAATTTGATTAGTATTTCAGCTCACTTAAGAAGGGAATCCAGTAAGAGAATTGCATTAAGAGAGGAGAGCAATCCCAGTGCAACAAAAACTTGGACGCGAAAATAGCAGATTTCAGTATATCCATGGTTTTTTCCAGTGATAATGGGACTCGAGTGGTGACATCAGTCATGGGTACAGCAGGTTATCTTGACCCAGAGTATTTTCAAATTTCCTTGTTCTATTAGATTTTTTTTTATCATGTTATGAATACAAATTTATGAACAGTGAGTGGTTTATGAATACTTTTTTGGGTCTGCAGCATGGGTTTTGTGCTGTGTCATGTCAACTAACACAATGTTTGGAAATGAAGGTGTCTAGGCATCCAGAAAGAACTCAAGGCTCAAATGAAGAAACTGGCTTGAATGAAGAAGCTTGTGTTACGATTTCACCATACCATAGTTCACCTGGAGTGATTTCCAGATGTTCAGATTCCACAAATGCAGGTTCCATGACAGCACCATGCTAAGGTAGCTACAAACTCTCTCATTCATCCCATGTTCATAACTTGGTGGGTTAAAAATGGGTGTGGGATCTGTTGTGCAGTGAATCAGTGTAGCCTACTAGTTTGTATCTATATTGTCGACTTAATCACTTTTGTCCAATACTTCGGATTGTCTCCCTGACTTGTACAATGTTTGAAATGCTTTGACTAGAAAATGCTTAACCATATTGCTGTCTTAGTATGAACATTGAATGATCCATTGATTGACGTAGACTAAGCATCTCCATGAAATAAGGATCATGCATGTACTGTGCAAGTTGTGCAGCATGAGGTTACAAATCCAGTGTCGTTTATGTTTTTCTGTTTTTTATGTCCAGACATTGTCACACGTTATAAATACCAGGTAGTTCATAGGCTGCAATGAGACAGAGAGATGAAGATCTCAACTGGTTTCCTCGTCCTACTGCTTTGTGCAAGTTTCGTTCATGGAGATACTGCGATATTGTTCTGGACTATGATAAGATGTACCATCTGTCTTAGATAACCTATGATAAGGAAGGCAAGGTGTGGCACATGATTTTGCATCTTGCATATCAACCTTGGCTAGAAGATCTTGAATATATTTGGTTTGAGAAACAAACAAGCCTGTGTTCTTGTAAGTGATCTGCAAACCTAAGAAGTAATGTAAATTGCCCAAGTCCTTCATATCAAACTCTTGTGTCAAAGCTAAAATGACTTCAGACATAAGAGATGTACTGCTGCCAGTGAGGATGATATCATCCACATAGAGTAAGAGGATCACAATACCATTGGATGTTTGCTTGACAAACAAAGATGGATCAGCAAAAGACGCTTTGAAGCCTAAACCAGGTAAGAAGCTTGTAAACTTCTCATTCCATGCCTGAGGAGCCTGTTTAAGACCATACAAGGACTTCTGTAGTTTACGCCGAATAGGTTAGCATTTTCTTTAATGAAAGCGAATGGTATTGCGTCCTTCAGATTTATATTTTCTGTCTGCTTATAAGTTCTTTTTAGCTCAGATTCAAGCAAATGCAAGAAGAACGTTGTTGTTCCAATACTAGGATCGTTACCATCAATGATGACCCTCCCCTTCAAGTTATAGTGCTCATACTGGTATGAAAGCTGAGAAGAACAAGAAAACCAGGTGCCATTTTATACCCTTGACACTTAGAACCGGCGCTGCTACTGTGGCGTCGTGGTATTTCTATCCATTTGGTCTGAACGCATATCTTTTTGTCTACTTAAGCTGCAGATGGAGAAAAGCATAAGAAAATTTCTGTAGCATTAATGAAGTCCCAGTTTACTTATGATGAGGTTTTAGAAATCACTGAAAACTTTCATACTGAAATTGAGAAAGGAGGATTTGGGATTGTATACCGTGGCTACCTGGAAGATGGTTTTTCCCAGCGATAGTAAGACTCAATAGTGGCATCGGTCATGAGCACAGTGGGGTATCTTGATCCCGAGTATGTTCAGATTTCGTGGTCTTAGAATTTTGATCATTTGAAATAAAACAAATCTATGAGTAGTGAGTGACTTATGATTACTCTTTTTTTGTCTGCAGGTACTATAATTATCAATGGCGAATGAAAAAAATGAAGTTTAGAGTTTTACTGGCCAACCTGGAATCACAGAAACGACATGCATAACTTCCACCTCCCAGCATAGAGCCACCATGGGTTTTGTGCTGTGCCAACAAACACAATGTTTGGAAACGGAGGTGTACGTCTAGGCATCGAGAAAGAACTCCATGCTCAAATGAAGAAACTCGTGTTGCGATTTCACCATGCCATAGTTCACCTCGAGTGACTTCCAGATGTTCTAAATACCAATCATCTTTCTCACCACTCTTGAATTATCATTGACATTCACTATCCGTCAATAATGTTTGAACTTTTGACTATCTGTACTTTGTTGTATTTATCTATCGTAAACTCATCCAAAGGTTATGATTCTTAAATAAAGCATTAATATTTTGTTAATACATATTAATCCTGATATGGGTTTTCTGCAATCGGTATATTGGGACAATATCGACACTATAAACAACATAGAGAAGAGGGGCCGTCATTGCCAATTTGTCAAAATGGAGGAAAAATTCTTGTGTAGAGAAACCGAAACACCAAATCCCTACGGCCTAGACAGTAAAAAAGCACTATATCCCACTCCCTCATTGTGAGGCCCACCATACCCCAAATTTTGGTCTCACCCCTCCTCTATTAACCTTAGCTCAGGTTTCGAACCGAAGAACTTCTCCGGATGAGAAATTCTTTTGTTCGAAACCGAAGATGTAGGGCCATGAAGGTGTTGTGAAAAGTGAGAATGGAGTCATTACATGGAGTAGTAGTGAGCCCCAAATATCAAGAGATGAGATATATAATCTTTATTGTATCTAGGGCCGCATGGACACGTGAACCGGGTGCTGGACTTTGGAATTTTTCCTCCGTATGGATGGAGACTTCTTCACTTTAGCTTGACTAATACCAGCTGCACTATACAACTAACGTGACTACTGATTAGTCAGAATAAAACAAAATATTGTTGACTGCATATATATCTTAAAATATTAGTACGAAATGGGACCACTAGCTGAATATGATTAGTCGATAAACTTCATGCATAATTCCATCATCATTCAAATCTAATCTTAATTACTTTACAGAAAACCAAAATCCTGGTAAATAATATGGTCATCCCACTATTTTCATCCGAATACGTGTTAGTTTGTTAGGGAGTTACCGTCTTAATCATCTATTGAATGAGTTCTTTGTATCTACTTTCCGTTATGCAATTTATTTGTACTTTATTTGTTCTAAGTTTTTTGTAACCACTTTCTGTTATGTAATTTATTTGTAATTTATGTTATAATTAGTATAGGACGGTAATTATGAGGAAAACTCATGTATAAATCTTGGGTGGAGGAATTCTCTGCGGGCGAGGGCAAAAGAAAGCAGTGGTTCTAACTTCTACGGCTCAGGTTGGCAAGCCGTTGAGATTCATTCAGTGACTGGCGCTCCTATTGTGTTTTGATCCAGCGTGGCATGCCCAACTACTTCCATTTTTAAATCCAACGGCTCAAATTTAAATCCAACGGTGAAAATACTATTATTAATTAATTGAAATCAGATCCAGCACCAAAACTCCTTCAAAATTCTATAAATACTCATACATTTGTTCACTATTCCACAAAAAAAATTTCAATTTTCTCATATTTCACCATCAATATTTTTTTTCAGAATTAAATTTTTTTTTGTTTACATCAAAATGTTCGTAAAAATAAAACAAGATAGATTACACAAAAACTAATTCCAAAATTATTAGAAAAAAATAATCGACGAAATACAAAAGTTTAACAAATTATAAAGTTGAGGGTGGGAATTATAGGTTTCTTACCTGTTGGAGGAAAAAAAATTGACTAACCTCATACGTATAGATGAATAATTGAAAATACAGGGCTACATTATGGGAGCTTAACCCTTTAGGTTGGAGATAACGTTAGAGATTGATGAGTTCCTTGTTGCTGCAGGTTGAGCTTGTGATGAGTATCCATCATAGAAACTTGGCCTCGCTTACTGGATACTGTGACGATACCGACAACTTGGCACTTATGTACGAGTACATGCCCAATGGAAACCTAAAAGAATATCTCTCAGGTATACGTAGTTCTATACTTTTATAAGCTTTATCTTGGACGGTTTCAAAATATTGAAGTATCATGTTTCTCATTGCGGATGCAGATAGAAGCTCACATATGACTTGGGAAATGAAACTTCGGATGGCTTTAGATATTGCGCTAGGTTGGTGTTTCGTATTATGTTGCAGGCTAATATATTTGCGTAAGTTCATGTGCCTTATTCAACCTATGTATATTGTGAAATTTGGCTCACAGGGCTACACTACTTGCATAAAGAATGCAATCCACATATTGTGCATAGAGATGTAAAGACTGCCAATATTCTCTTGAGCAAAAACTTGGATGCAAAAATAGTAGATTTCGGTATGTCCATGGTTTTTCCCAATAACAACGAGACTCATGTGGCATTAATCGTGGGCACAACAGGGCATCTTGATCCTGAGTATGTTCAGATTTCATGTTCTTAGAATTTTGGCCATTTGAAAAAAAATCTATGAGCAGTGCGTGATTTATGATTTTTTTTTTTGGTCTGCAGGTACTATAATTATGAAAGGTTGAATGAAAAATTTGATGTTTATAGTTTTGGGGTAGTTCTATTAGAGATAATTACTGGCCAACCTGCAATCATAGAAAGTGATGATCTTGTCCACATAGTGGAGTGGGTGAATCCTGAGTTCCAGAATGGGGATTTAACGACTATTTTGGATCGAAGGATTCGAGGAGAGTTCGATGTGAATTCGGTTTGTAAAGCATTAGAGACAGCAATGGCATGCACAACTTCCACCTCCCAACCATGGGTTTTGTGTTGTGCCAATTAACACAATGTTTGGAAATGGAGGTGTCTATGCATCGAGAAAGAACTCCAGGCTCAAATGAAGAAACTCGTGGTACGATTTCACAATACCATAGTTCACCTGGAGTGATTTCCATATGTTCATATTCCACAAATGCAGGTTCCATGACAGCACCATTTGCTCGGTAGCTATTTAGGCTTTAACTTTGCTGGCTCCTACACTATTGTTTGAAATTCTTTTTTTAATATATTGTTAAGCTTTTTTATCCATTTAAGTTTTATGATTTGGTGCATAGTTTCTCTGTAATTAAATTCATTTTTCGTGAATTCAATCAGCAGAAGCGGGTAGATTCAACAAGTAATAAAAAGCCAAAAGCTGCTTCCTTCCAAAAGTCGGTGTCAGAAAATTAACAAACCCTACTTCATAAGTTCAAATCAATCATAGCTTCAAGTCCAAATCAATGACTTAAAACCCTATCATGTTGTTGACAAATCTTCCACCGTCGGATAACAAAGCTTATCGCTCACATGTCAGGTATACAGAAATCCAAAGGTGGAAACAAGCCCAGATTAGGATTTCATAGATACTCCCCCTTTATCTTGAATTCCAATTCAGGTACCACAATTTCAAAGATGTTACGTCCGGGGTAGCTGGTACAGTTAGATCTTTGTTTAAAATAAATAATAATGAAATTCCCAAAATTCTACTATACTTCTTTGCTTTAGTTGAGTTCTGTGGTATAGTTGAATGTGCAATCACGAGAATCTAATATTGTGAGACAGTTGAATGTGTGATAAAAAATCTAATACCTAAGAACATCTAAAAATTCCCATACTCAACATAAATTGTTTGGTACACAAGAAATTCTTAAGTATGGATAGTCGTGATATGTCAGTTTTAAAAAAGAAATACTCTCATGTAACCAAGTATCTGCTTTAAAGGAGAATTATGGTTGTTATCATTAATTCACGATTAGAACCGGCCAAAAAGAACAATGTCACAAATTCAACCCACTGTTTTGTTGTGATGTCTGAGCTTTTTAAGTCGAATTCTCTCTTTTTTAGGGTATTATTTTCAGTAATTTTGTATCAAGTCTAAGTGTTAGAGTTGTGACCTTATATATTATTCAATCAATAAATTTTGGAGGGGGTTTAATGAAAACCTCTTTGCTACAACTTGGTTTTAATCGTAAGGACATTTTGGATTTGAATATCTATATTAGGTCAAGCTCTTTTCTTATTTACTTTTATGTCATTATTTCATTCATCATGGCTGATTCTACAATGAAGTTTACATTTTGTTTGATACTTAAATTATTGTACGTAATTTTGCATGATGCTACTACGAAGGATTATCCGCTTGCTGCATTGTTGTGCTATTTATAATTTGATATGTCACTAATAGAAAATAAACATGTTAATCAACATTTATGTAATAATTCAATCATCAATAATCACGTCATATAGTTTAAATAGATAGTCTTCCTAGCATTACCACAGTTTAAATAGATGGTCTTTCTAGCATTACCCCTTTTATATCATTCAATCGATAGATTTTGAGATTTTCTCAAATTTTAATGGTTTCAAATTGCTTGTGAATTCTAACTTAGGTATTTCGTTGGACTTCCCTCATACTATATCAATATATTCATCGAGATGAATGGTATGATGGCGATTAATTAATCCCCTGCCTTGAGTATATAAATCCTTCATTTCTTCCCAACCCCATCATTAATTATTGATTGCCAAACACAATGGTGCCACCGATGCCAAACACAAGTGGGATGGGTCCAATAGCCATAGGATTCATTAGGACTTGCCCCATGAAAACAACAACTCATCTCATTACAGCAATTACAAGGAAGGCAGTGTTGGAAAATTTTCCTCTATCTTAGAAGATGGAGGATCTGCAAATCCAAATAAATTGTATCAATATATTCATCGAGATGAATGGTATGATGGCGATTAATTAATCCCCTGCCTTGAGTATATAGATCCTTCATTTCTTCCCAACCCCATCATTAATTATTGATTGCCAAACACAGTGGTGCCACCGATAACATGATTCATGTGGGATGGGGTCCAATAGCTATAGGATTCATTAGGACCTGCCCCATGAAAACAACAACTTATCTCATTACAGCAATTACAAGGAAGGCAGTGTTGGAAAATTTTCCTCTTATCTTAGAAGATGGAGGATATGCAAATGCAAATAAATTGTATCAATATATTCATCGAGATGAATGGTATGATGGCGATTAGTTAATCCCCTGCCTTGAGTATATAAATCCTTCCTTTCTTCCCAACCCCATCATTAATTATTGATTGCCAAACACAGTGGTGCCACCAATAACATGATTCATGTGGGATGGGGTCCAATAGCTATAGGATTCATTAGGACCTGCCCCATGAAAGCAACAACTCATCTCATTACAGCAATTACAAGGAAGGCAGTGTTGGAAAATTTTCCTCTTATCTTAGAAGATGGAGGATCTGCAAATCCAAACAAATTGAAAACAAGAATCCAAGATATTACTGAAAGTACACGTAGTGATCAACTTGTAAACCAAATGACCTATGTAGAATTTGTATAGTCGTTCCGTGAATTCCAATTGTCTACAATTATTTGGAGGTTTTTTTTATCTGATGACTCTCGTTAGTACTGAAGAGCGAATACGTATCTAATTTGAATCTCCTTATCGTACATACACTTTTGAATGTACTAATGAAGTTGTTATTATTTTTTTTATAAATATCTTTAATTTACTTTGTTAAAGTTGGGTTTCCACCATCGTCTAAAGTTGTTGAGAGAGATTGCAGATAAAATGATTTTATATTTATGTGGTCTTACTCTGCTTTTACTTTTTTGTCATGTTAGAGCATCTATAATAAAGAACCTAAACCAAGTCTTTACAATAGTACAATCTCTAAATATAGAGACAGAAAGTTTTTAATAAGTCGAAATTAAAGTCTATAAAATATTTCAATATGTTTTTTTTGTCAAAAAATATTTCAATATATAAAAACTCGCTAAATACTTCGAAAGAAAATCTCAAATGCGAAAATTGTATAGTGGGCCTCTGTTGATTTTGTGCAGAAAAGTGACCCATAAACGTGGGAATGCAGTGCTGCACAACAGCTGGTTTTTTGTCCTTGCTGCACACCAGCTGGATTTTTGTCTTTTACCTTGTTTGTTGATCCCACCCACGTGAAATTTTCATTTAGGGTTTTTGAACATTAGTTCTTGCAAAAGATTAAAATAAAAAAATAAAAAACTGATGCTAGATTAAATATTCAATTTAATCTCTTGAGTGTACTATTATCAAAATTTACATTTAATTTTTGTTATTTAATGTGTATTTTTATTTAATCTCTCCATACTAAATTTTAATTTTATTAATATGCACATATTTAATTTTTTTAATTAGAAATGAACGTAAATGAGAAAATATTAAAAGAAATTTATGATACAAAAATATATAAATACATACGTGTACAAAAATGATTGTGCCAAAATATATAAAATTGACTTTTTTGTACTGAAATATTTGTACCTACATGATTGTACCGAAATATATTATAATGAACCTAAATGTATGTACCGAAATGTATTATATTGAATTAATGTACCTAAATATCAATACCAAAATGTATGTACCAAAATATACGTACCGAACTGTATGTACCAAAATGTACGTACCTAAATGTTAATACCGAAAATGTATGTACATAAGTATCAATACCAAAATGTATGTACCTAAATGTATTTACCGAAATATAATAATTGAATTAATGTACTTAAAAGTCAATACTCAAATGTGTGTACCAAAGTGTACGTAATGAAATGCATTATATTGACCGAAATGCATTATATTGAATCAATGTAACTAAATGTTTGTACCGATGGATATACCAAAATATTCAAATGTATTAATGTACCTAAATGAAGAACATACAAAATTGTTATCGGAATATATATTATAAAAAAATTAGTTGCTTAAATGTAGACATTAAAATATATATTTGATGAATGAAATAAAATTAAATTTAAATGTAATTATACATTAAAATAAAAAATAAAAGATAAAATAAAAACATCAAAATACAATAATATATGATATGATTAAAGTGTTAAGGACTAAATTGGATTTTAAGCTTAATATGGTTATAATCTAAAACTCATCTTTTTTAAGGATTAAAATGAAGTTTTCTATTTTCATTTTTGGTTTTTTCACGTTATTTTTTTATTTTTTTAATTTTTGAAAAACTAAGGGTAGAGAATTTTTTTTAGTTTTTTCATCCATTGATAATAATTTTTCAATATTTTAGTTTTTATTAATTTGAAGGATTACACTATAAGAACTTTTCATAAAAAAAAAATATACTCTTTTAAGGACTCAAATATTTTTTTAAAGTCTTTAAATGAGCTCTCATAGATAGTGGTGGAAGTTCCTAAATAGGGATCCGGAGAGCATTCTTGTCCATTTTATCTCAATTTAATGTAAATATTCGTTGTATGAAATACTGTTCAAACTAAACCATCCAATCGGTTGTCATTTAATATTATGATCTAACGGTATTTATCTTTACTTATAAATAATAGGTCTTAAGTTTGAATCTCAAGAATGACGAGTTCGATACAAATTTATACCCCACCCCAATCCAAGAAGTTTTGATTTAGCTTTTAGCTATGCAAAAATATATCGTTGTATAAAAATCAATCTAAGAAGTTTGGTAAGACTTTTATAATGAAAAAAAAAATGCAATTTTAGGTTGAACTAATCAAACTATAATTAGTTTGGTTTGATTTCGTTGGATTTGACGTATTTATAAACTGCTAAAAGCAAAACCAATTTGAACGCTCTTTATCAAATATGTGTATTGTCGGAGACGAATTCCTAGCGTTCGATTGTAATAGTTACCACATTTTCTCACTAGGTTTAGGTTTACCTTAGTCAATGAAAAAGGCACAAAGATGAGTGTAAATCATTAGCCAATTCAATGTATAAGAGACAAGTTTCTAGCTCGATTGTGTAAAAGAAACCACAGTTTATGTGAAAGATAGTCTTATTCACACAATCATTTTTATTTTTGACATATTTTTGTTAATTTTGTATAATTAATCTTCTTTAATTCATTCAATAAAATTAAGAATAAAAAGTAAAGTTA